GAAATTAGAGACATTAAATTTAAGTTTGTTGTATATTTAATTAACGTGGTTATATCGCAGTTTGAGAAGACGTAGACAAAACTCCTGATGCATTTTTGTTTATAAAAATTAAATTAATGTAACTTTTATAAGTAAATAAGATGAAGGGCTACGCGTGCAGCAGACGTTGCTATGTATTGGCATAGACACACAAACACACACGACATCGATCGTCGTTTATTATTCACGTCAGAATTTATTTGCCCGCCTCGCGTCGCGTCGCCGGACTGCCTCACCTTACTATGTGCCCTCCTCTACGTGTGCTACTCGTACTGTAGCAATTGTAGTACAAATAACTGTATTATTTACTATGACTTTGGCTGTTATTGTAAATTCATATTGTTTCACAATCAATTAATGAAAATACTTTTTACAAAAAGAGGTTAGAAAAAGAGATTGTTTCTTAAAAATGTAAACAGCGAACTGTGAGAAGATATATGTAGTTAGTATATGTTACGAGTACATAGCACCCGCAGAATATAACCCGTGTTGTGACACAGATAGCGCAGCGCTGAGAAAGGCACAGGAAGACATCGAAGGCTTCATTAGACGACGGAGGAAATGATTCAAAGCCGCCAGCGATTGGAGTGCCTGGAGCCGCACACCGCCGCTCGCAGCGCCCTCTATACATATGTATGCACGCGCCGCCGCCTGTCGCCGTCTATTTAATAAGTCGCTGACAAAGTTTTTTGTAATATCAAGACGGGCATTACGGCATCGACGAGGCATTGTTATTGGAAATTGAAAGCGCCAGTTCGCAGTTCGATATTTCCGCGCTTAAGTAGTTTGTTTGCACGGCGCCGCGCTTTGTTTCCTTTGCAAACGAGCCAGCGCCGAGTTCTGTAATGTTTCAAGACTTGCTTTCGATTGCTCTTCTCTTTCGAGTAGTGTTGCTTTTCTTTTCTTTGGGGATCGTGTTTGTTTTAAGTTGGAGTGGGTTCTTTGTAGGAAAATCTTGAACTCGGACGGTCGCATCGACTGCCGCGCTTACTGACCTTCGCACGACGCATTCCGACACTTTCGCCCCACGTGATACGGTTCACATTGCCAACTGAGTGACGATATGAAGAAAATATTTGAATTTATTAAATTATAGGTACTTACAGGCGAAGCAAAGTTTTTACTTTGTTTTTACAACCTATCGTTCTATAACTTATTTCCAGAGAACCTTATTAGTCTGACAATAGCATAAGATTACAAGAATATTGATGTTTGTAATTTAAACAATTGCAGAATAGTTTCAGTAACTCATAGAAGCGACATGTACAAGAGCGACAGATAGTTAATAGAGAACGAGGTATTAGTACGTGCCTCAAGTAAAAATGTAAATCCTTGCAAAAGCAATCAATCGGGGTGCACTCTCGCCGCGCCGCTTTGCGGGGACACCGCACGAATATCTAATTTTGTTTGTTACCCTCCCCGCACCCCGCACCCCGCAGCCACACTCACCGGGCGCGGGGTGCCGGCGCGCAGGCGTCGAACACCCCTAAATCCTGGCGGACGTTTTGATGGATCACCCTTAATGACAAGCACTGAAGGGGCGACGTAGGGATGTGACACAAATACATCGATACGTTTGAGGAGCGATCTCTTAATATTTTTTTACAGAAATAAAACTGTTCTGAAACAGTTATTCCTGATTTACATGTCGAAGGGGAAAAATTGTTATTTGTTTTAAACAGTTTCTAGAAATAAACTGGCACTGATCTTAAGCCAAAGTTTACTTGTAAATAATTGCTAAGTGACAACTAAACAAAATTAAATTTATGTCAATTTTCTTTAAAATTATTCTCGTTTAAATATACAACAGACCATTAGCGATAAAAAGATATTTGTAAATTTTAAAAGATCCACCAAAATCAGGTGACATCGATATCGATAGATGTTTTTATGTTGACACCCCGTCCTTAGTGCTGACGGTCGGGCGTGCGGCGAGCGCCCTCCGCGACATGAGCAGAGCGCTGCAATTGTATTAGACATTAGCGGAGCGCCACTGAGCCACCGACGCGACGCTTATATTGCTACAACTATTACTTGTATGGAGAAAGAGATTTTACTACCAAATAACAACATCAAATCTTAACAACTTGTCATTAAAAGCTAGATTATTAGCTGTTACAGCAATATTTTAAAGACGGACATACATACAAACGTTTCATATGTAATGAAAATACTGAAAAAATTAGCAATCACGAAAGTTTTGACATCTTGGTTAAGGCTGAGTGGCCACCATTTTGGTGAAATTTTAATTGTGTAATAAATGTGGTTTTCCTTTAGTTATGTAGGTAGCAATCAAAAAAATATTTCTTTAAAATTAATATATCTTAGTCAGGACTATAAAACAGAGCAGTACACTGAGATTACATATTTTCATTTGGGGAATATTTGGAACACTCAATATTCGTTTACGGGTTCTAGGTACATTCCTTTTTTAGGTAAAAATTCGTCTTAAGCGTATCTTAAGTCAGGAACAAATAGAATACTGTGTTATGCCTTTTATAATATTTCGAGGACGCGACGCCGCTAAGTCGACATCGCGTCGCGGTATAGAGATATAAGAATTCCAGTTGGAGAAATGATAGCCTAAACTTGTTACGTTCTTCCATTTATATTTATTTTTATCGTAAAAGTTATCGCTACTGAAATTAACTTGTCAAAGTAAACTTTTGGCAACATTTCAAACGTAAAATGTTACAATGTTTTTTCTCCAAGTTTTTACATTATATTTAATAAGATTTTTCTTTTGATTCGCACAACAGAAATGCGCAACTAGGAAACTTGCTAAAGAATGAATAGACTTAGACACAAATATAATCTAATCAAGTTACAATTGTCAGGATTGTGACATAAATGACTAACCTTTATCAGATCAACTATAATAGTCTAGTATTTAATTAATGAATGAACAGTGTACTCTCTTATATATATTCAAATCTTCGTAAGCTTAGGATAGAGAATGTCCTTGCTCTAACACACGCATGTCTCCAGACGGATATATTTTTAAAAGCTTTTCAGGTGCATTATTTCAAGTAGACTGTTCCTTTTTTATATTTCACTTGTATATTTTTAACTCTACACATAAAATTGTTAGTCCTGGATATATTTGCAGTCCTGGTATGTATGGTTGTATTATTGTTAGTCTCGTAATAAAAGTATGTTAATGTCAAGGAATTCTTACACAAATACTAGCAGTCGCCTGCGACTCCGTCCGTCCGGGGTTGAAAAATAGATAGCCGATTCTCTATTGATATCTACTGAACATGCATATAAATTTTATAAAAAACGGACGAGTCGTTTGGCAGGAGTATGGTTACATTGAGCAACGAGAATTTTTTTATATAAAATAATGTATCCATCTAAAAAGATCAGTGGGAGACAAATAAATCATCTTAATGTTATCACTGCCTTCCTTAATATCATACATTTCTTACAATATGCTCTCAAAAATAGAGAAAAGTATGAAATCTTTGATGTTGTTAAAGCGCTTTTATTATCATATAGTATTTCTTTGATGATAATATCTTCAGATGTGCGCCGCGTCAACCATCCACATGTCACATATGTTCTTGTGAACTTGATTTAATATTTACACTTTATACAATAATTTTAGAATGTAGAAGTTGCAATTAATTTAAATTAAAACATATAGGTTTTATTCAAACATAGCTCTTGATTGTTATCAAAATTACTCAACTGATGTCAATATTTAATTGCACTAAATAAATGATATTTCTCAATATTCAGATTTCTATTGTTCTATACTAAAACGAACGCCATTGTTCTTAACAAAAAAAATAATACAATTTGATTTATGAAAAAATTATATTACATTTAAAATAACGTACTATTGGGGCCTAGCACGAATATTTGTGACAATCGAAATCGTATCGTCATTGACAAATTATGTATTAAAGTTTGTGCAGCGCCCCCTATCGAGTGTAAAGTATACCAAAAATCTCATACTGATTTGATGGCCCATAGTACAATTGCGCGCGTATTGCGGGCGACGTTCCCCGATGTGGCCCGTACTAGAATCCATACCTTTTAAAAGCTGTTATTTGAGGGAGTGATGTATTAATTAATCATGAAAAGAGGAGGCCGGGGTCTGCGTGCGTTGTTGAAAAATGCATGAGCGACTGCTGGAAATAATGAACGGAGTCACGGACTTGTCTCATCACTCGAATGCACCGCAACTATTACCGAAGCAATTTTCTTTTATCGATTGTATCGGACGACATTACAACATTCTGTCGTCCATTTGTCACTTATTACTTCATTTTTTATTCACGTACACGTGTTTTGTTTAATTTTCCCTTTTGTTTGAAAGCGAAAAGATAACTCTGAAAATTGAAATGATGATACAAAAGGTATTGTCGTATATAATGTTCTAGTTTTCATAAAAATGATTGAGGTCAATATCGAGAAATGTCAGTGGATTGTAGGAGGGGTAAAGTTTTGTTTTTATATAGAGAAGGGGGCAAAATGGCGACGGAAACGATGTGGTGACTATTTAATTATAATTTATCATAGTTATTCTGTAGATAAGGCTACAACATTAACATGTCTGTTATGTATGCAGTGAGAAAATTTAATAAAAATTGCTTTTACATAGAAACGAAGAAAGAAATATTTTTAGTTGTACAAAAATTACTATTTTAACATTGGGAAAACTTCAAACACATATTTGCTTTGATGTTCGCAGTAAACATTAGCTTTATATTTATTGCTTCAATAGATATTTTGATAAGATTTATGATGTTGAATAGAGTACCAGTTAGTTTTTAACATTTTTAACGTAAATCGACTAGTTTTTAACAAAAAATAACCTGTCTACGTAATATTATATCTGAACATAATATCATAAACTAGTTTATCTTTACTATATGTCTCTTTTTATCTGATTAAAACCAAAAAATATTTTTAATCAATGTTTAAATTTACTTTTATTTTTGTAATTACAGATATCACGACTTAACCTAGTCCCGGTAAGTCAAATACTCTATTGCTTCAAGAAGTCTGATGTCTCCCGGGTGTGCGTTGCTGATAGCTGATGCACACGAGCGCGGCAGGAAACGGAAGCGTGCCGCAGCCGCGCCGCACCCGCCGCGCTCTAAATCGCAGTAAATCGCTCGTCGTGCACATTTTGCTGTCAGCGCATGCGCCGGCGCACCACTGCTTTTGCAGGATGACCATATTAAAACTGATTGATAGAAATTATACAGTATTTTCTGACATGAGCTCCTTCAAAACATTCATATAATTTCGACGTTCAACTAAATATTTCTGTTTTCTGTCTCCTGTAATGGAATATAAATTTCTCTTAAATACTATTGTATTTAGTAAAAAAACATACTCGCTGCATTGATGTGGTTTAAAAATGATCTATGATCTTTGTTTTGTCAATATTTTTTATTTAATTATATTTTGAAATTATTGTCGTTTTTTTACCGGTTAACAAATAAAGGTGGCGTTTTTTTATAATAATTAAAAACTTAAAACAATGACTGCATTATATGGTATCGTCTCGATCTGTGCACAGGAGTTAGGCGCTTGAAGAACTGCGCGTACTGACTTATTTACTGCCATCGTTCGTCTCTTTATGTTCGCCGTGGGTGGCGATCCCACTTTATGATACGAAGTCATATGTAAAAAATTTCATGAGCGTCAATTGACTAAGACGTTTGGCTATTCTAATATAAAGCAACTTGGGGAAAATTAATCTAAAATCTAAAATTTCAAAAGGCCGGAACCCTTTAATTTTTCTGAATGTGGTAAATACGAACGGAAAGAACATACATTGTAAACAAAAAGTACTTTTGTAAAATTATTAACTTAGTGTCATATGTCTGTACGTGCACGATGACAAAACTATACATACAAGAATAACACCTATACATATATCTATTCAACGCGAGTCTTTCTTGTAACCATTTGGCAAACATTATCGGGTGAAGTTTCACACTTCTGTTGATTTTACAACAATGTCGTTAAAACATTTTCAATGCAAATAAAAACCTCAAGTTCAAGTAATTAAGCTCATTTTTACATGGATAGACGTATTGATATTATATTCATGCCGTGTTTTAAGTGGCCATTCATTTAAATAGCAAATAGTCTTGGAAATTGGAAATGGAAGCAAAAAAAAGATCTTTAGTGCACTACAGCTTTTAGTCTTAGAAATTAGTCTCAGTTGGTCCTTGTAGACTAACATGTTAGTCAAAGGAAAGAAGTTCCTTTGTAGGTCAGCCTGAGAATACATACAGCAGGGCTCGCGCTAGCGGTGCGGTGCGGTGCGGCGCGAATCCTTTTAGGAACCATATTAATTCTCCCTCGGCCCTTTGCAACGAGGTAGTGTTATCATACCGCGCCTTCGTCAATGCAGATGTACATTCCATTAGCAAATGCGAAAAGCATTTAATTACAAATATTAAAAACGGTTACTGCTATATCGTTACTACTTAATTTATTAGCGAGCGCATCGCCCGCCGGTTTCATCTGATGATCGAAAATCGACAACGAAAAATACTGTTTTTCATTTTGCTTTAACAGCCTCGGTCATATTTCATTAATCAACAAACATTTTACTGTATTTATGAAGCGAGATTTCATTTATTCTCTCCTTTAATTTGATAGTTTAATTTAATGATACATTTTGTTTAGTATTTAGTGATATTAATTAATTTTATTTAATGAGAGATGAATTTCAAAAGGTAATTTAATTTAAATGAGTTTTTTATACAATATTTTTATGAGCAGATTTCAAAAAAATCTTAGATGTGTTGCCATTCTCTTGTATAATAATAACACAGAGGAATCAATTTATAGAATATTTCCATTCTGATGTATTTGAATGACAGATATAAATATATGTATTGAATTTATTATATAGTGTTTATGGTTATGTTATATATAATGACTTGCTAAATCCAACACATGGCATTATAATAGTGTGTATGTGATGTCGTCACACGGGACATGTCCGCGCATGCCGCGTGACGCGCCGCCGGGATTAGCGATGCTTGCTCAGTAATCAGTGGGCAAGGGTTACTAATATTACGGTCTAAAAAATTGTGTACTCATTATCATGAAATACATAGTCTAGCTTAGTTTTCTTATGTAGTAAGTGAGTGATTCATTACGTTAATCTTCAGCGTGTAAAGTCGTTAGTCGTTAGAATTAGTAGATAGAAAACATCTTTCAACAATTATACCTCGTTAAATGAATGTACTTAGTGTAACATTGGGTATCGTTGTCCGAGGTATTGAATGGCAGCGTTTAACTTTAGATATGAACCAGATTACTTATAATCTCCCGCGAGTGGTGCAGTACTACAATGGCGTACTGCCCGATCCGGTGCGATACTAACATCCTGCACTTACCTACAGAGCTGTGCTCATATTCATAGGCGTTACTTATTTATGTAATGACGTTTTTCGATAAATTTAAATTTATACATCCGATCCTCCTGTTCTGTATGACTTCCTAATATTTTTTCTTTGTATTCACATAAAATACAATAATACCAAATATCACATCAGTTTCTACTAGTTTCTTCTAAGGCTTCGTAGTTTCTAGCAGCTTTCTCGTACTTTTCTTTGCCTTTTCATATAGAGGGTTGACAAAAGATTTCTTACTGTGCATAAAATTAATTCATAATAAAACTATTGAACCATTCTTAATTTATCGATTATGATTTTTAAAGTATTTGTATCGACTATAGATATGAACAATTAGACCGTAAATCCGTAGCCATGTGTGGGGTGGGCATGTGAGCTTTAGACTGTGAATGAATCTTCTCAGTAAGCCTACATCTACATTTACATAAACACTAACCAAACTTTCTTACTTTTTTATTAACGATATATGGATCCAACGCAATTTTATTTAATTAAAGAACAAACCAGCTCGTACAGCAAATATTTAATAAATCACAGGATAATATTACCACGACCTCCATTTAATGAGTAAATGTCTCTTATCTTCTACATGAAATATGTGTTTCTAAAATTATCATAAATCTTACAAGTTTTTTTGGTAAAGATAACATTGTCACAAATCCACACTTTACTTGCAAAAACGACAATTTAGATTTAACTTTATTATCGGAGTAAAAGTATTTCGTTAGATAACAAGCGACCATTAAAATTTTGAACATGTTTATCGATAAAATTAGTGAGGCTCTGCTTTGAAATGCTAACATAATTTGTACCCGAGGCGACGCGACGCGTCCCTTTTGAGTACGGTTTTTTTTTTGCTTTTTTGGTCTCGGGACATGTCGTTTTATACAAATAAGACATTTGCTCCGTTACCACAAAAACTGAGGGCTTGATAAACGAAACACGATAAATTTTTAGTGTTGTTTATCATCGAAAGACATCGATATCGATATTTTTATTTATTCTAATTATTATATATTATATAGGTGCATCAATAGTTTCCGAAGTATCTGTCTTAATAATAGTTCAAATAATGGATCTACTTCAATTCATAAAATAATTTTTCATTTCTTTAAAAATATGATCAGCGGACCTCAGTGCCCTGCAACTAAAGGGTAATAAAATAAGTGTTACTATTTAAAAGCAATAACGCGTGCAAAGACTCTAACTCTTTATATTTAATTTAGAAAAATGATACTTTAAAACAAGTAAATTTCTTCCAATTCAATTTTTTGTACTTTCATCGATATCGAAGAACTAAGTTACCCGATGGTCGTCACTAGCGATATCTTCAAGTGGTCCTTTTTAAGATCAAGTGCGTCTACCTGCAGTGAGTGTCGCCGCATGTCGCCTTACTGTCGCCTCAACATCGTCTCCCGTCAGACACTTGTCTAATGCTTAAAAAGTCAATACAAGTGGTAACGTCAAGTCATTGCAACATATGGTGAAAGTAACCGATTTCTTAAGAAAACTTTATAAAAAGAACGTTCAAAATTCTAGTTATTAAAAAAAAATTAGGAAAAATCCTCATAAATCCAAATCTTCCTTTGATGTGTTACCTTAAGAAAATGTCGCCTAACTGTTAAGTTCGTAGTGACTTCGGAGAGATGTTATCGCATCCGCTGTTCCCAGAAGCAGTTTATCTATGTTCTCTTCTGAGAACTCGACAGTGGCGACACCAAGCTGATTTGATGCCCGGAATGCCGAATTAATGCGCCCAGGCATACCACTCATGTTCATTCGCACGGTTAAAGTTACTAATTACTAATCAGTAATTTTATAGAACAAACTCTGTTGCTGTCATTAGGTACTTAGCTATTAGGTAACGAGACTGACCTTATAATATTATAACAGTAATACAAAGAGAGAGTAAAGATGACGCGCTTCAATAAAACAGGTCAACAAGTCTAGTACTGACGACGATGGCCACTTGGCACAAAGATAAATTATGAGTAGTCCTTTTAATATAAACACAGACAGAGTATCCCCCTCCCCGTAACCTCCCCCGACCTAATGGAGGGCACTCGAGTGTTTCAGAAGTCTCCACTCAGTTTTTCCCAGCAGCGCCGCAGTCGGGAAAATTAACAATCGATCAAATGGAGCGCAATAAGTATCGTTTGGAATTGATTTAGGCACCGTTCACATTTACACATAATTACAGACATGTATTATACTGAAGTAGTTCATACAACACTTGATTTATAGGACTTAGTCAGGAAATCTATGGTCTCGATGTTAGGGACAGATTAAAACATTTCATTATTTTTTATTGAATAATTAAAACAAAATAATTATTTAATCGTGTCGTGCTTCGCAACGCGCACGCGGCCCCACTTGCTTCAGCGCTCTCGTCGGCTCCAATTTACCGAAAATCTGAGAGCCCTACAGTTTTAATCAATTTTCCTCTTTATTGAGATCAGGAGGCTGCGATTAAGCGCGGCTGCAAATAAATTTTGTTGCTTTCAACAGCGGGGAAAATCGCAAATATCCCCTCTTTGTAAACTTCATCGAAAAATACAGTTTTCATATTGAAATAATATACTGTTGCA